TGTTATATTTTCTTTTTCTTAACATATTTATTTCTGATCTAAAGTTGCCTTTGTTAGATACACTTATAAGTCTACAAGCCGAGAATAGAATTTACAGTGTTAAAGGTGAAGTATACAGCAGTTTGCCTTTATACCTTTGGAAAACGTGGGCTTTGCATCATTTAGATATTGTGTGAATCTGTTCACTCTGCAGGTGTGATGAATGCAGACTCTGCTACCATTTTGGCTGTTTGGATCCCCCTTTGAAAAAGTCTCCCAAGCAAACAGGCTATGGATGGATATGTCAGGAGTGCGACTCCTCGTCTTCTAAGGTAACAGAACCAGGAGCTTGTCGGGAAGACGCGCTTCCCGTAGCTTTCATTGGTTTTCTGTATTACGCCATTAGCTTCTTAAATTGTAAAGTAATTGAATAATGAGGGACTAACGTTTCAATCTCATGCATTAAAAAAAACGATACTGCTATGGAAATTTTATTAAGGAGCAAAAAGGAAAAGAAAAAAAGACCTCTATTAATTATTTAAACTTCCTGTATAGAATGTTTGGAGGTTTTTCTGTATTACTGTAGCATATCAATAGTACTCTAATATCCCACAAAAGTCACTGTCTGTTGTATACCACACCCAGGCAGTGGTAGGAAAATCCAGCCCTGTTTCTTATAATTTACATTTATTTTGACAAATATTGTGTGTGTGCGCACATTATCACAGAATAGCCAATAAAATCCTATTTTAATTTGTAGATGATTCTTCTGAAATTCATTCAATATATCCAGAATGTTTTGTAAGGCATGTTCTTTACTAAGGGGCGTCTCTGACTGGTCCAATGGTTAATGCACGTGGCTGCTTATCGAAACTTTGAAGGTTTGCATCTACCCTTCGTTGCCCTGGAGGAATGGCATAGCAATAAGAATTCTGAGAATTCACCTGCTGGAAACCCTGTAGAGCTATTCTGATATACATGGTACCACCATGAGGGAGAATTGACTCCGTCAGCTGATTTGCTTTTGGTTGGTTCTTTAATAAAGCCGGTTTTCATATCCCGTATCATATTCCTGATGTCTACCTTAGCCAAGTGGGCAGGGAGAACTTTGTAATGAAGTTGTTTTATACTGTGTTCTAAAACTAAACTGTTGAAAGTATGTATTTTACATATCAACATTCTAATCCTAAACTGTGCGCATCTACAGTTTAAGATGACTACATGATTGTGTAAAGTGTGTGTGTGGGTGTCTAGGCTCTGGTGCTTTGACTCATTTAGCAGAAATACTAAACGTATTAGAACTAAGACATCCTGATTGTTTGTAGGTTAGTCAAATTGTTTTTCCTTAAACAATATAACTTAGCTGTCTGTTGTATGATGGACCTCACAACATCTTTCTTCAATGCCACTTCAATGCATTTGTTCATACTACAGTGAGATAAAGTTGATCCTAAATTTCTGTCCTGTGATGGAATTTTAAATGTTCATATCATTACTTTAATGATTTGTTCCAGCTTACTGAAGAGGTCTTCTGTAAAAGTTTATGTATTGAGGAATAAATCTTAACTAAAGTATTTAAAGGTGTTTTTATTAATAACCAGAGTTTAGTTAATATTTTATAGCTTCATGTAATAATTTAAAAAATAGATTATACTATATATGTCATTTAATAATTAAACAATTTGGGCCAAACATATAAGCTATGTACGTAATAGTAATAAGTTATTTTATAGTCATTTTTAAAAGTTCCAGATTTAAGAGGAAGTATATTTAATATAACATTTTTATTGCATAATTAAAAAACATATTTAAGAAATTATAATTAAGTGAAAATAATGGGGATTTTGGTACTGAAGTTTTAAATAATTGTTTTATTGGACATGTTGTGGTCTCTGTAGGTTTTCTATGTATTTGTTTGGGGTTCCTACTCGTACCCAACATGCTAGTTAGAAAAGCAGTTTATGAAAAAGAGTTTGCTACCTTTTATAAATACTATTAAGTATGTAGCATTAAATAAATATAAAGAGAAGCTTTGTTATGTTATCAATTAATATGGTCAATAAATGTTAAAAAATGAAAGGGAGCATGATTCAGATGTCTTAGGAGCATATTCCATATTTTGTACATGTTGCAGGTCCAGGTGCCATTAAGAGGTCAGATTTTTGTCTGTTTTTTCTTTCTCTGTAGAAGGAATGGATTTTAGGGTGAATAAAAATTTATCATGAAGGCACATTGTTAGAAAAAAGCATGCCTTGTGTTTGCTGTACTCGGTTTGACCTATGTTTGAATATCAGATATAAACAGCTAATGTTTTCAAATTTTTATTTAAGCATTGTTCTAAACTTTGGAATGTCACAGCAATTTATGATAAGTATATACTGTAAAGATTTCCCAACAGTAAAATGGGATTGTAATTTCATTTTACCATTGTGACTATTACTATTATCCTTAACAATTGAATTTAATGTAATACTAAATCAACAAATTAAGAAGACTTAATTTATGCTCTTGAATATTTATGTTTAACCAAGCTTATCTTATTTTAAAGACTTTCATTTCTCACCACTGTATTGTATATTTCTGTTCACATAGTCTCGTGAAAGGTTTGCTAGTACAAAAATGCTAAATAAGAAAGCACTGATGGATAGTGTCATGCTGTATGATTCCTTAAATATAGAACCTTTCAAATCCAGAAAGCAATATACACCGAGTTAAAGGGGAAAAAAATTAGTAGGATATTGGGACCCAAAAGCAACCTGAAATTTACTTATCCTTTATTTTCTTCAACTTACTTTGGTGAAAATTTATTTTTTAGATATTTGTTATGTTCATGTGCTTCAGTGGTATGGAACACTAGCTATTTTCATGCCTTGGAAACAGTAAGTAAATTGCCAGTAAGTTTAAGTGAAGAGGAAGTGAATACCAAATTATCATTATAGCCATAAAGTATAAATTCATCTCCCTTTCCCTTAGGCAGTCGTTTTATTAAGTTCAACAAGTCTGTACTTTTCTTATAGAAAAGTGACTGTTTGATAAGAAATTATTATTTCTTTGCTTAGAATTTTAGATCGTAGGTTAAGGTGTGTAGTTGAGTATTTCCATGCTGATGGACCCAAGAAAATATACCTGCTAAACAATTTACCTTTCTGTAACATTGTATTTTAATGTGCATTTCTCTATATGTCTTATAATTTTAATATATTAGCACTACATATATTTCACACATAAATATTTATGTTAGGGCATATACTTTGAATGATTTTTAGTTTTGAGGTATATCATTAAAAAATTAGAAATTGACAACCAATACTATTACCGGAGTGATTTTTCTGAAAGCATATTTGTCACATCTCTGCTAAAGTCTCTTTTGTTTCTCCCTATATATCCAAAAGATAACTAACAAATTCAGAAAATTAAGATTGATATTTTATTACTATGTAATTCTCAAACCTCATTCAGGTGCTACCATGTTCCCCAGTAATGTCCTTTGTAGGGATCCCACACAGAATCACATGTTGCATTTAGTTTTCATGTTTCTTTTGTTTTTGATTGGCCTGTCACTTAGTTATTCCTATGTTTTCATGACCTTCACATTTTTGAAGATTGCAGACCAGTTACTTTGTAGAATGTCCTTCACGTTGCATTTTTCTGACATTTTGTCACAGTTACAATGCTTTTATGCGTCTTCAGTGAGGACATTGCAGGGCTGATACTGTGTCCTTACAGCATTCTGTTAGGCGGCTCATGAGTTTTATTTGACCCACAGACAGTGATGGTGATCATCACCTTTTGACTAAAATGTGGTGTGCATTCTTCTCCACTTTCTTTCCCTCCCGGATTAATGAGTAATTTGTGAAGAAAAGTCCTTGAGACTAAGTAAAGACTCTTGTCCTTATCAAAGTTTCATTTTGTTTTATTAATGAAATATGATCATTATTATCATTGCTTATGTTGATATCTAAATTCTTCCTGATATGACTAATGCGTGCTCTGCAGGCTGACTTCAGTGCCCTTTGATGTGGTTCTATGATTCTCGGAGTACTTCTTTACTAACGATTTATTAGGCTCCATTTGACTCTTCCTTTCCTGACTCCTGGACTTAGCCATTTCTCCAAGAAACCCTGGCTACTTTTTGTGGAGAATGGTAGTTAGAAGCCACGATTCAGGTGCTAAATGTGCTCCTTTTACTAAAATGTTATTGCTCTTTGTTATTACTGATAGACAAGGCCAAGGATTAGTTATATGTGTAAACATTCATTCATACATACATTTGGACTTATATATTTTGTCTTTATGTATATTGAAAAACATTCTAGTTTTTTCCCTCTCCATGTGTTTAACTCCTTCTAGACAGAAAGTTGGTG